AGCATAATAGACCCCAAACCCTATTCTAGTTATTAAGGCCCCTACATTGCCGCTATTTCTCATTCCTGGGGTGCCCGACGCAGCTTGCTCAAGGCGTCCTGCGCACACTGGGTTTGTTGGAAGGTTTCGTCTTTGCGGTGAAGCCACATCCCTCATTATAAGTAATGATTGACCTTTAAATCATGATTAGACATCTGTAGTATGGAATCTGCGATTCGAAAACTTCATCGTTCTCGGATGGGATAATTGGGTTGAGAGCTCAGGTGTTTTCAAGATCTGGACTGACATGCTCACAAAATCCTGGCTTGTGCATCTTTTCCGACACTGCGGACATGCTCGATGCCGCGTTGCTCAAGCATAGGGAAAGTTCGCCCTTTTGGTGAGATGATTGTTAGAAAGGCACCTTGATAGCGACCTTCGCCACGTTGCAGCCTAAGGCTCCGAAGACTGCAAGAGCTTTAAGGCGCGTACAAACTTGAGGCCCAACGAAGTAATGTCGATGTTCGCCGCCCGGAAATCGGACACCGCAGCTCTTGCAGCCTCCAATCTCTCAGGTGGGCGATCACGCAATAAGGCCAAGGCATCCTGGACCGATCGTATGTATCGCCCTTCCCCCCTCTTTATGTCGAGGACAGTCGTTAAGTAGACTTCCGTGAAAGGGTTGTTGGGTTTAATCTTCAAGCTTTTCATGTGTCCATATGCTTCCATCACCATCTCTAATTTAGCACCTGAGTAAGCTCCGCAATGTTTGGCTCAAGGCCCATCTCCAACGACATATCCAGCAAAAACTTGGCTGCGTTGTAGCTCGACCCCTCAGCCTCCCAGCAAGCACGGATGGCAGATGTTACATACGCAATGTTAATCTGGACACTAGTACGACAGTTGGTCCAACATCTCGGCAGCGGACTGAACGTCACCTTCTGCAGCAGCAGCATCGATGCGGGCCGCTGCCAATGGTTCATCAAGCGGACAGCTACTTCTGGCCTCTTTCCAGATCTCACGAACTCGGGAAGTGTGACCCGACTTGGCAAACAACTTGAGAGCAGTGGCATAGGCAGCCCCATCTTGAGTGATGTTCAGATAAGTTAGTCGCAGGTAAATCGCGGCTCCCTCCTTGTATTGTCCACAACTGAAGGCAGTGTGAAGCACTGCATGGAAAACAGGTAGCTCTTTACCATCATACTTCTGGAACAGACGCTTCACGTAATGCCGGTCTCCACGATCACGTGCCTCTCCAATCCTCGACAACAGCCTCCTGGCTTCTTTGGAATAGGTCATGTTCGGATTGTTTATCCTCGTGCGGAAATTTCATTCCGGTTTCCTCGCGCAGCAAGCGCAGCTTCGAAGGATCTTGTCCAAGTCCAAAGCTGGGCGAAGGGCGAGACCACAACGAACATAGACACAGGAGCATAACATGGAAGCACAAGCGCCTGCACGTTTTCCGTTCAGCCGCTGGCAGCAGCATCGATGCGACGAGACGAGGAGGAGGAGGAGGAGGCTCACTTTGCAAAACCGAGTGAACATTCAAGCGACCCAAACATCGAGACTCCCGAGGGCCATAGCAAATCCTTTAATAACGTCCTTAATGAAGCCCTAGGAGGACAGTGCCTCAACCAGACTCCGACAAAGGAATCTTAGCCAGACCTTAGAGCCCAGAACTCAGAAGATGCACAGCCGCTGAGTCTTGAAAGTCTTCATGCTCTGAACTTTGAACCACAGGCGAGAACAGAAGTCCTCCCCTCTGGGAACTTTAAACCATAAAAAAATAAGCCATACAAAAATAAAACCCCTGCTAGAAAACGTTTGTCGTAACCCAAGAGCCTCAAAAACGGGGCTTTATGCCGTCAGCCCACCCCAAAACCCCCGAAACCAAACCCGCTCACCCCCAGAAGCCACGAGGATCGGGGCTGGGCCCTCCGACTGCTCTGATTCTGACGACTATAACAACTGCTGGAGCTTGTATGACCATACCTAACATCATGTTGAAGACGCCGAAGCGGATGCTTATCATGAAGATGATTATAGGTGATGATGATGATGATGATGACGATGACGATGACGATGACGATGACGATGACGATGACGATGATGATGATGATGATGATGATGATGACGATACCCTTTCTGTATTTCGTCTCGTCATCTCTACTGAGCAGATCCTTACTGCCATCACCATCGGCGCCCTTTCGAGCATCCTTGCCCCAAACCCTAAACCCCCGCCCGTTAACGATGCCTCCAGCAAAGTCCCGCACCACCGTCCGGTAGAACGGACATCGCCTGTGAAGCCACGGGCTGGGCAGAAGCAGGCGGCTTGAGGTTTCTGGATCGAATATTGCGAATAAATAATCATGAATGCGGAGAATGGAAATATAATACTAATTTCGCGAATATATACGACTAGTAAAGAAAAGGGCTTGTGCGCCAAAGGCCGCTGGATCAACCGTCTATCAGTGTTGACATCAATGTTCTCGTCGAACAACCTCCGGGTTTAGGGCAGAAAGCTACGCTCCTATGCAGTTTCCATAGTGCTGGGTGTTGGTGCTCTTGAGGTGCAAGGTGCTTGTGGTTTTAAGCTGTAGGCTGTCAGGGCATCGGGCTTGGGGCTTAAGGGTTTGGGGTTTGGGGCTTACCGCAGGTGTCGGAATCATCAGAAATACTCTTCCTAGGGGCTTCTTGTTGCAGGTATAGCATAGCCGGCGTACCATACCAACACCCAATTCCACTCATTAGAATTATTCCTCCCTATCTATATATATATATGTGTGTATGTGTATATATATATATATGTATATGTATATGCTTGGCATGAGATGCCTAATCTTTCAAAGCTCAAGTCAGGTTCTAGGGTTACAGGTTTAAAGGGTTGGGGTTTTAAGGTTTAACTCCGAAGCCCGTCAAATTTAAGGTTTAGGGTCTGCTGTTGTTACACTTTAGTCTTTAGTACTACTACTCCTTACCCGCTTACTGATTGCTAGGATTTTTTTTCTTGTGATTGTGATTTGGGGCATTGGTTTGATGCATACTTCTCGTATTTCTAACATCACTGTTGTTACTTCTTGTATGATCAATGTTACCAAACATACTATGCTTCGGCCCTCCACACCTGGAACCTCAGCCCTAAAGTCTAAACCCTAAAGCTTAAAACCAAAAAAACCCCAAACCCTAAGACCCTTAAACCCCAAACCCTCTCCAAAAAACCTAAACCCTAAAAACCCTAAACCCGAAGCTGTTGTATGCTGTGGCACTCCGAAAACCTAAGCCTTGAAAAACCCGAAGCTCACCCTAAATCCCTAAAGCGCTAAAGCCCTAAAGCCCGCAAGGCCGCAAGCCCTTGTAGGAGAAGCCTGCCTGAACCCCAACACCCTCAAACCCTAAACCCTAAAAAACACGAATCCTAAAGCCTGAAGCCTAACCTAAACCCGTAATGTAGGGGCTTCAATAATTAAAATAGAGTTTGGGGGTCCATTATACCATAATTATAGTAAGGAATCCCCAAAAATAGCATTGGTAACGACAGCGATTTTGTTGTTATGCTACACCCTGCTTGTTTTTATGCTGGACCCGCCGCAGGTTGTTTTTTATGCTGGACCTGGCTGTTTTTATGCTTGACCCGGGTTGTCTTTCTGCTGTGACCCCTTCCTTTATGCTGACCTAGCTTTGTTTTATGCTCCCTGGGGGCCGAGGGGCTGCCTACGCTGTCGTCTTGCGAACCGAGCTCTGTTAAGGGGCAGTGCCAGTAAGTAGTAAGTAGTAGTATAGACACCAACACACTTTTGTACAGAGCGTAACCGGTCGATTTCACAAGCACCCCCTCAAAAACAAAACACAAGTGGCTGGTGTTGGGGCCGATCTTAAGGAAACACCGCGCGCAAGCGCCACCATTGAAGGGAAGGACGGGGCATTGGAACAGGGAAAAAGGCCTCCGTAGACTGATCAGTTTTGACATCACGGATCCTTTGGCCGAACAGTGTAACCACGGAAATTCGCACTAAGAGCGGGCCTGGCAGGACCACGGAACATGATGCAGTCTCCACGGAACATGATGCAGCCTCTTCGCCGTGTGAGTGCAATGTTGGTACAGCAGAACCGAGAGCAATGAGAACTGTACCAGGACTTCTTGAAAGTGCAACAATCAAGAGTTTCTAAACGTTTAACGTGAGTCCCGCAACGGCCCCACGCTCCATGGCCACTCCAGTTGCCCGAACAGCACTAAGCGCCCCTCTGCAACACAATGGAGATCATTTCCTTTTGACAGCATAATTAGCTTGGCTCAATGCGACGTGCAAAGGCCTGCTGCAGGTGGTTTCCAGGATGAGGTTCACACCATCCATGCTTCAACATGCCGTGGAGATCTTCAGCAGCAACGCAGAAAGCATTGGTGGCCGCTCGCGCAGTGCGCGCCGCGAGGCGTTGTCTGAAGCTGCGCGCCGCATGGTGGATGATGCTCCTCGTCATTCGCTTGAAGATGCCCAGCATCAGCACCTCGTGACAGGCCTGAAAAACAGCGCAAGGAAATGGCCGAAGAAGGTCCTCCAGGGTGTGGAGCAGCGGAACACTCCAACGCCAGCTGGCGGGCCTGGTTGGCTTCAAAGCTGCTGGCGGCCTGCGACGCAGCTTGGCTGGACATCGGCTCAATGCACCGGGTAGGTGGCACAGATGTAAGGCTTATGGATATGACAAGTGGAGATCATGAGTTTGGAGCTCGCTTCGTTGAGAAGTTACAGATGCGAGGTATACGAACCTTCAACGACATGCGCCAGTTGGCTGGACATCGGCTGAGTGCACCGGGTAGGTGGTGCAGATGTAGGCCACATTGATATGACAAGTGGAAATCATGAGTTTGGAGCGCGCTTCGTTGAGAAGTTGCAAATGCGAGGTGAGCGGACAGCACGAACCTTCAACGACATGCGCCAGGAACTGGATGAGTATGATTTGTTTTCTGGCGATCACAACGGCAGTCCTTGTAAAGATTGATCTGGACAAGACAGGGTCTCATCTGGAGTTTTCTACGTGCGGGCTAAAGGACGAGGCATACTCATCCAGTTCCTGGCGCATGTCGTTGAAGGATACATTGGGGAAATGCACAGGTTACAGAGAAGGAAATGCAGCCTGCGTCACCCTCTGTCGTTGAAGGTTCGTCTTCCAAGATGCCCCACAAATAACAGCCCGAATCCGAAATTGACCTGCTCAAGTTGCTCACGGGCCACTGAAGTTCGAATCCAGCAATCCCTCCATTTCGCTTGGCATGGACCCTGACAGTCAGCTTGAATCCGTTTTGAGGTAAGCCCGCTGATCAACATATCGCTGCTGAATCGGTTGTCCCTGGTTTCTGAATTGCCATTGGATGTTTCTGAGTCATGGTTGCTGAGTCGAGTGCATGGTGACTGACATCTGCTTCACCGCATGCAGGCCAGCATAGGAAGAAGTCAGGCTCGCTAAATGAGCAATGGGGCCCAGCCGGTCCCCGCCTTCCATCCGGCCCATGGAGCATAAAGCGGAGAGGGGCGGCAGCATTAAAAGCAAAACTGATTGGCATAAAACTGACACCAGTCTCAAACATAAAAATGGAAAGAGGCAATGGGGCCCAGGCCTCCCCAGCCTCCCACCTGGCCCATGGAGTCCCATGGAGCATAACAAGGAATGGGGGCAGCATAAAAAAAAATGGTCAGATTCGCATAAAGCTCGAAACCGGTAGCATAAAAGGGGTAAACTCAGGCATAAGAGGAGAATCCATGCGCATAAGAAAAACCGTGTCGACAACGGGATGGAGACATGGAGGTCAATGGAGACGTGAAGCTGCACGGCATGAAAGTGAAAACCTTCCGCATACAAATTACTACCCAGCCCTATTGGTAATTATTTCGGCCCTATATTACCGCCGTCAAAACCCTGTGCGGAGGATGCAGAAACTGAGGCCACGGCTCGTGGGTGAGGGCGATGAGCTCCCCGAAGCTCCTGATTGCCTCGTCACCTTGGGCTTCGTGCTCCTTTAAGGGTCCTAGGGTTTAGAGTTTAGGGGTTTAGGGGTTAAGGGGTTTCGGGTTTATAGGAGGGGCTTCTCTTGGGGTTTTATTGGAGCTGTAAGGTTTCTATGAAGGATTCTTCTATACGCCTTTGCAGGTTTTTTTCTGGGATTTGGAGGGTGTTGAATGGCGTCTTGCCTCGTCACCTCGGGCTGTTGGCTATTTGGGGCTGCTAGGGCGATTTCGGGGGGGTTGAATACAGTGACCGAGAGTCGGGGCTGTAGGTATCTGAAAACTGAGGACTGCAGGGGATTCTACGAATACATACTCAGACCTCTGCGTCGTCGTGCTTAAGGCTTTTAATTTGGTGTTGAGGACTCCTTTGCTCTAGGGTTCAGAGTTCAGCATTCGGTGTCAATTAAGGCCCGTATAGGGGCCTTTCAGTAGCAGAGGAGTGGAAAACTCTGTGTCGGATTTTAGGTTTTGGGTTTAAGGGTTTAGGGTTTGGGGGTGGTTTTAGGGTTGACAGGGGTCTGAGAAGAGTTTAGCAACAGCTTTCTCTTCTCAGCCCTTTCTAATCTCAAAAGCCCGTCCCCAAGGAGCCCCATCCAAAATGAGCCCCCCAGGCCCTGACACGTCCTAAATCTGCAACCCTACCCATAACCCTAAGCCCGAAACCCTTAACCCTAAAACCCTAAACCCTAAACTTCTAAAACCCCTAAAACCCCTAACACCCCTAAACCCCCAAAACCCCTAACACCCCTAAACCCCCAAAACCCCTAAAACCCCTAAAACCTTCACCCTGAACCCTAAACCCTAAACCCCAATAGATCCCTTTAAAGGGACCCTCATAGATCCCTTTAAGGAACCCTTATAGATCCCTTGATTAAGGGGTATTGGGCTCTCTGGGGTGGTTCCAAGCGGCCTCTGCGTTCAAAATCCGGATCCCGAAACCCTTCATGTAGGGTCCTTAATAAGTCGAATAGGGTTCCTTTATTGTTTAGGGGTAGGGTTTAGGGTTTAGGGTTTAGGGTTTAGGGTTTAGGGTTTAGGGGTTTAGGGTTTAGGGTTCCTTTACTTAAAGGGGTCCTTAAAGGGTTCTGTAAGGGATCTTTGATAGGGTTCTACAGTAGGGGCCTTCATGATTAGAACAGGGTTTCGGGGCCCAATCTACTGTGAACATAAAAAGGAACCCCCAACATAGTATTGGTAATTATTAAAACCCCGACATTAACCCATATCCCCTAAACCACAACCATCTGAACCTAAAGCCCAATTGAGTGTCTGAGTGTCAGGGCTTCGCCTAAGGGCGAGTTCCTTCACCGCTTTACTCAAGCAGGATACTACCTACAGTCTCCATTGTGAATCCTTTTGGGGATACCTTATAAAATCCTTAATAAATAAATAATTGGTTAAACCAAAAAGAGCAACTACAATGGAGACTA